CAACAACGCCATCTGAGACCAGATCCCATAGACAGTAAGTACCTTGTACTTTATCTTAAAAATAATGGTCAGCTCTTGAAAAGGTTTAAACACGGAAGTGAGGTGACCAGAATTGATGTTTTTTTAAAAAGATCAGATAAACTGATGTCAGCTAACTCTAGATACAGGAAGCAATGATAGAAATTCCGGTTAGGGAGAAAGATGTCCTGAATGCTCAGGTTTCGTCTCAGACATCATTTTCCTTTTACTTGGCTTTTTGCTCACTATGCTGGCTGCTACGTTTCTGTCTCCTGCGCAGTAACTTCTGACCTGCCCTATATCTCAATGTGGATGTCTTTCAGGGCTGAGTCCTCAGATATGTTCTCTGTTCACACTCATTATCCAGTGACCTCATTCAACCTATTGGTTTTAAATATCATCTGGACACTGACAAGCCCCAGATTTATGCCAGGATTCTCCTCTGACTTCCAGACTCATATATTCAACTGCCTGTTTAAGAAGTATTTTAAATGTAGCATTTATAACACCGAACTCTTGAGCCTCCCTCCAGATATGCTAAACCAAGTTCGCCCCAGATCAGTAATGGCAAGCCCATCCTTCACGTTGCATACAAGTTTTGGAATCATCTCTAATGCTTTTCTTTCTCTCATACTCTGTATCCAATCCATCAGCAACTCCTTTTGACTCTCTCTTCCAAAGATATCCAGATTCTGGACCTTTTCTACAATTTCCAATGCTCTCTATCTGGCCCAAGCCACAGTCATCTTGAATCTAGGTTATTATAAAAGTTATATTGTAATAGCCTAGATTATTGGAATAGACTCTTGTCATAATAGATCATTGTAACAGATCTCCTTGTTTCTACTCTGGTTCCCTATATGTTTACATTCCACGCAGTGGGTAGAGTTTATCTTTGAAAATATTAGGTCATGTTACCATGAATAAACACCTTCAATAGCTTTCCATCTCACTCACAGTAAAGGTCAAAATCGTTACCATGGCCTATAACACACTTGGTACTTTTCCCCCATGCCTCACTTCTTTGACCTGAGCTATTATGCCTCTTCCCGTTGCCACTCTGCTCAGATACCCAGCCTAATTGTTCCTTGGATACCGCAGCAGGCTCCCATCACATGGCCTTGGCATCCCACTCTTCCCTTGCCCTGGACGTTCTCCTCCCAGATCTCCAGAATGTCTATTCCCTTTTCTTCAGGTGTCTTCTTAAAGGTGATTTTATCACAGAGACCTTCTCTGAACACCTTACACAAAAAAGCAACTTTCCCTCCATCCCTATCTGAGCCTCTTTTGCTTTCTTTCTCTTAACGACACTTGTCACCACCTCCATGGCACTCAGCCCTCTATATATAATTTTCTGTGCTTTTTTTCCCCCACCTCCCTCACTGGATCTGCAGGCTTCACAGGAGCAGAAACTGTATCTGGCAGGCTCAGTACTGATTCTCCACCACCTAGAACATGCCCATGCCCATGGGGTATACTCAATAAAAAGATGCCGAATGGAGGGAGGGGTATGGAAGAGAGAAAATGGAGTGAGTTGGTGAACTTGATCTATCTGCATGGCAGAATGGTTAGATGGTGGTGATTCATTGAGTACTGAGCTGGAGAAGGGAGAGGAAAAAGACAGCAGTCTAGGAGGCTGTGCGAGTGTGGGACCCTACTGAGTTGAAGGCATAGCATTCCCTGAATGAGAGAAGATGGGAGGAGGCCTGGGTTAAAAACAGAGGCAGAGAAGGATGCATTCAGTTTTGAAAAAGCTGAGATCCGGGTAACTGGGAGACATTCAACTGGCGAAATTCTGGAGGTAATTGACTCTGGACCAGTGAATGGGATTTGTGCTTAGTGTGTGTTTCTGTTAGTTACCAAACTAGTGGGAAGGAGATGGAGAAAGAATACCTTCTGAGCTATTTTCTAGGGGGTACCCGAACGCTTTTCATCCCTAAGGTGAACTTGCTGAAACAGCCGCTCCTTGGGGAGCCTCTCAGCAAAGCCTCATTCCCAAGCCTCCGGGAGTCTCACTGTCTGCACGCGACCCTTTTTCAGCCTGACTCCGGGGGTGCGTGTTTGCCATTCAGAACCTACTATATTTTACTGCACTTCCTGACATTGTTACACAACATTTATTGAAAGCACATTTGATGGTAATGAAGTTTCTATTAACTATGATTAAATCTCATAAAGCACCTGAAGATAATTTAAGATGTGCAGAAGCAGAAAATGAAACATTCGGTTTAGTACATTAGGAAATGTAATTGATTAAATTATCTCATTTACAATAAGTGCTTTCATGAGCGATGCCGAGCACAGATTTCCCCCAGTTTGTCATTATGATTTGCCAACAGATACCTTCAGACTTCACTTTCTTTTTACACCTCCCCACGACTCAGAGCCGGTTCCTCAGCCCGCCTCACACGAATCTGTGCGGGAGGCTCTGAGAGATGGGTTCCACCCGCCCTACCGTGCAGAAGCTCACATGCACGGCTATATATAGGGAAAGGTTGTTTCTCAATTATCTTCATAATTGACTTTGATTTTGCATCAGTGATGATTCATGGAGTCTTCAACGAAGCCCCCCTTTCACTAACAAAATTGCAGCCGGGCTCTGTATGATGCACTCCTACCCATGCAGCCTCCAGAACCCTGATCGGATGCCTCTGGGAGCCTTCTGCAATCACATTGATTCTGTTAAGGTTTTATTTTTAGAAAATCGCAAATTAAAACAGTTTAAGCGAGTCTGCGGCAGTATCCACCAATTAGGCACGGTGTGCAGGAGTGAGAACCCCAAGCAAAAACTCATTCAGGAAGTCCCCGAGGACCAGAAATAGCTACTGGGGGCTTTACGGCTGGATGTACAGATGTAACCAAATTAGAACAGCACTGGACTCACAAACTAAGCGTGAAATTAATTTTTAAAAAACACACATGCAGGGTTCCCTGGTGGCTCAGTGGTGAAGAAGCCACCGGCCAGTGAAGGAGCCACAGGTTCGATCCCTGGTCCGGGAAGATCCCATATGCCGCGGAGCAACTCAGTTGTGTGCACCACGATTGGTGAGTCTGTGCGCTAAAGTCCGCGAGCTGCAACGACGAAGCCCTTTCGCCGTACAGGCCTTGCTCCACAACAAGAGAAGCCACCGCAACGAGAAGCCTGCTCACGGCAACTAGAAAGTAGTCCCCGCTCACGGGCAACTGGAGGAGACCCAGCACAGCCAAGAAATAAATAAAATAAAAATATCTTTAAAAACATACACACATTTGGGCTGCCACACGGCTACCCATAATTTTGCTTGTGCCACACACGGGGACCAGGTGGGGGGTGGCGGGGACCCCACTTACTCCAGGGAAACCCTGGGGTCTTGAACAAATGGACACTCATCGACCTGCTCCTTCTCCCTCTCTCCGCATGTGCACACAGGCAGGCACGCGCGCACACACACACACACGCGCGCGCGCGCGCGCACACACACACACACACACACGATTTCCCCATCGTCTATCTTCCTATGGAGTTCCAAATCCATCATGCATGACTTGAAAGCTGCTGCCTAACCCCCAATGATGACTTTATGGGCAGCAGACGGCAGGGAAAACAAATTAAGAAAGCTTGTTTCTGTTGTTCGGGAAGTTCTCAGACTCTGGAAGTCAAGGCATCCTTCTATCTCAAGCCTGCCTGAAGCAACATCTGAAGTAGGAACATCACAGCTTTGCTGTATCTTTTTCTCTCATGCCTCCGGACCCTTGTTCCCCAGATACCAATTTCTGTCTATCTTCACAGGGTCTTAATTCTTTCAAAGAAGGTGGCTAATAAAAGCTGTTAAGTCTCCCAAGCTATTTGAATTTTAATACCCTAGGATTTAAAAGATCAAAAGCCATTCGGTTTAGACTAAAATGGTAGATACTAGTCAAGAACGTCTTTCACAAGCTTTACAAACCAAATTCTCCTATTGCTTAGAGCTACACGGCTGAGGCCCTACCATGCTGACTTTGGCGTCTATATGACACCCTGACATACTTTACATATTTCTGAGAGTCACTGGGGGAACATATTAAAATGTAGATTCTCCAGAGCTCTCCCTGCCCCTGTACTGGGGATTCAGATTAATTTGTTCTATTTTTTTTGCAGGGTCATATTTAACCAGCTTCCACCATATCCCAAGATCCTGATGCATGCGGTTGCTTATCTAAGTTTTGAGAATATTTTTGTAAGACACTGGTTCTCAATCCAAGCTTCACATTGAAATCCCCTAAGGAGCTTTTAAAACTGAGGATTCCTGGGTTCTAAGTCTCTTCTTCTCATGTGATTTCTCTGGAGTAACAGCCCAGGAACTGGAATTTATAAAAGGCTTCCAGGTGGCCCCCAAGTTCAGCCAGGTCTGAGCACCATGAGGCTGAAGGTGGAGCTGCCATCATCTGAGCTGGGCTTCTTTCCCCAAATCTGGTGGATGCCCAAGAAGAAGGGAAGGCAAAGGCCTCGCCAGGAAGCAAGCCAGCAGACAGAGAGCTCCAGGCAGCATCCACCCCCATTAGGTTCAATTCCTGGCCATTTCACTGTGGCTCTTAATCTAATCAGTTGCCATGGATTTCAGGGTTCATCTCTCAGGCACCCTCTCCCACTCCTAGATGGAAAGTTCTGTAATCAGGCTACTGCCCAAGGTTGCTCTTGTGAAAGCCTATACTGACAAATATTTATAAATTTTAATGAGATAAATCTCAGAAATAAGAGTCCTAGATGACATCTGTAGAGAAATGGACTGCTACTGGCGGACAGAATCAAAGCAGAGATTTAATCTGAAGGAGGGGAGGGGCGTGCATATTTCTTTTCCATTTTAACTCTGATATGTGACTCCAAACCCAACAAGAAGAAACCTCCCCCCAAGAGCCCTGGATCTTTCGTAGGAACTGCAATTCCATTTGGCTCCTAAACAAATATGACAGTAAAGCAGCAAATATGAGAACAAATGATATCCGCAAGAGGAAAAATAACTTACTTTGGGGTTTTATTTCATGAAGAGGTTTTTTATCTAAAAGAAAGAAAGAGAAAAAAAAAAAAGAAAGTTGCATTTAATAAATTCACACGGAGCAGATATATATTCTACATTCCTTCACGTCTACCTCTATAAAGGAAACACTTCCTTTCTGCAGACACTATGGATTATGTTGTTCCTATTTTTCCTTTTCATTCTAATTTAAAAAAATTTTTTCTCTTTGGCAGTATTTTTTCTAGGATGATTGCTTCATTCTTTTAAAGTAAAATTCCCTCAGGCTTACTAGAGTTTCTCTCTGTTGCATTTGCCAGATTCTTATCAGCATGATGAGAGCAGCGAGCTTGCAGCCTGCCCTGTTTTATATCCAGCCAGAAGTCTGCTCAGGTAAGGAATGCTATTTCACTACATATGATGGTGGAAAAATGATCCATGAATAAATATTTAAAGGGATCCTGCATTGGTTTGCAGTTATCATGGCCTGGGTAAATAGTTTCAAACTCTGCTGTTTTTTTTTTTTTTTTCCCCTTCTGTTCTTGTTGGGTATAGATGCAGGATAGTGTGTTGAAGGTTTGTTTTTAAGAAATTATGCTTTTTTGTTTCAGATCTCAATTATCTGTTAAAATGCGGATGATCTTAATGGAAAGGTGTCCTTCTGATCCTGGTATTGAGCAGGGCAGCGGTCAGCTGAGATGGGTACAGAGAAGAAACACTCAATCTTTTCTAAAGTGAGCGAGACATTTTTATCCATTCTTTTCACATCCCTTTATCCACCATCCTCCTGCCATGTTCCATCACTAAATAATTCTGCAACCATCTTGCAAATCACTTGGAGACATGGTACCTGGGACTCTGCATTACACCACAGTCCTTCCACTGACCACTGCCCTGCCCTTGGTCCTGTCCCAGGCCAACACGACTCTACCACCAGGCAGAAACCCGGGACGACCCCGCTTCAGACTCTCTGTCAAATTTCAGAGGATCTGCAGGGCGTGTCAGGCCTCTCACTGGTGCCTTCTCGGGTGTCGATGGAATACCATCGGACGGCAAGCACAGGGCTGTTGCTAACACTCAGAGAGTGCCATAAAGGAGCGGACCTTGAAAGGTCACCCTGGGTACGCTCCTTCTCCTCTTAGCCTGAAGCCAAGCCAAGCGGGGCGAGACACTGTCATTCTGGATTATGTTTTGAACGGAATCAAATCTCACACAGTACATCTGAGAACTTCGTAAACATCATCTGGCTGACTGCACCTTAACCCCTCCCAGGCAGACAGGCATAGCGAGGCTCCAAATCCTTCATGGAGTATCTCTTACCCTAACCCGCTTCTGCACTAAAGACTGATTTTGACAGAAAACCCTCGCCATGTGCATCAGGTACAACTGTTGTGTATTTTGCCACCTGTTTTGTGATGGAAGTAGCTTTTCAAAGTTTTGTGTAAATCATACTTTTGCAAATGGGCCACCATTGTTTTTTTTTTTTTTTACAGTAAGGGGAAAGGTCACTGACTAAGGGTGATTTCTGGCCAATCTTTCTTTAAAAAGGAATCCTGGATCTTCTCTGGTGGCCCAGCGGTTGGGACTTAACCTCCCAGGGAAGGGGGTTTGGGTTTGATTCCTGGTTAGAGAGCTAAGATCCCACATGCCTCAGGGCCAAAAAATACCCCAAAACATAAAACAGAAACCATACTGTCACAAATTCAATAAATACTTTAAAAAGGGCCCATTCAAAAAAATCTCGAAAAAAACATCCCCACAAAAGATAATTTGTTCAAATTGATATGATCAGATTCTTACGCAGTCAGGTTTCTTTAAGCCCAAAGCTTGCATTTCTCTGACTGCACAGATTCAATGCCATATTAGTTTTCCCGAGAGCAGGTGGAAACTCCCAAGGTCCAGATGCTAATGCACTCAAGAATTAGAATAAAATGACTTTGGTGGTTTTAACCTGACTTCAGTTTTTGCTTATCGCACGCTATCTGCAAGCATTTGGCACGGGCACAGCCCTGCTGGGAGGCCAAGGCTGAGACATCTGAAAGTGAGGCATTGCTAGGACCACACAGAGAGACATGCAGAACAGCTGTTCGGAGCTCTGGCTGTGCTGAACGGTATTTTCTTCTCTCTAAACCACAGGAATAAAGATTATTCTGGGTAGCAAAAGAAAACTCGATTAAAAACAGGTGAGATATATAACCACTCCTTGGAAAAATACATTGAATATAGCTGTAAAAACAAAAAGAAAAACGGGGATTCTACCTAGTACAGTTCTGAAAAATGAAGAGAGAGGTTGGGGCTGAAAATTCCAAGGCTAAGGACCCCAGACAGAGGACCACATGGATGCACGGAGCAGAAGAGGAAGGCATTTTGCCCTCTGACCTCCAGCTCTAGGGTTGTCATCGTTGGCAGCGCAATTCGTGCGGACTCTTGGATCAGAAGTCTCAGACTGTCTTCATCTATCTCTGTGACCTCAATGTTCCCCACAGTAAAGTGGGAGCAATAAGGTTGTTAAATGTTGGTTCTGGGGATTGAACAGAACCTGGAAGCCGTGAAGCAAAGGGCTAGCACACGTTCAGCATTGATAAATGTAGTTGATAAGTAATACTGTAACTTTCACATGTTATGAATATGATCCTCATACTCGTTCAGAGGACAAAAATGACCCACATGCTGCTGCATGAACACTAGGCACAGCTCCAGGCCAGAAACTCTAGTGAATTTCAGGGGTAGTTGAATGGGAGTCAAGAAACACGTGCTTAACGACTTTCCTGGTGGTCCAGTGGTTAAGACTCTGCACTCCCAATGCAGGGATCCCAGGTTCAGTGTCCAGTCAGGGAACTCTGATCCAACATGCCCCAATTAAAGATTCTGCATGCTGCAACGAAGACCCTACATGCCACAACTAAGACCCAGCGCAGCCAAAAAAACCCCAAACACAAAAGAAACGTGTGCCGACTCCTGGCCTCTGCTTGCTGGCACCAAAGGCAAGTTGCAACTTTACTCTGATACATAGAAAGAAGGACAGGGATGAGAAGACCTCCATGGGCCCCAGCTTTCACCCCTATAAATCTTTAGAAAAGGCATTCCATAGAAATCCACATAAAGTGAATTTCAGAAACAGAGTAACAAGTGTTCAAACGGCTGCTTCTCTATCATTGCTGACAATGCTAAGATCCGGCACGTGTGTTCGCCTGCATCTTCTCATGGGAAAGGCTGGAAGTCACTGGTGCCCACGAGGACTTTAGTCCCCCGGCATTGGCATCAAAATTGGGTTCTGCTGTACTTTGTGAAATACCAGTATCTCGTTAGCAAGCTGCTCTCAGAGACCATTTTCCTAGCTTGAAATGTCTGATTAGAGACTGTTCTACCGTGATCTCGAGAGAGGGCTCCCCCATCTGCCCCCAGACCTCACAGTGTTGTGGAAGAACAGCCCACCTCATGGTTCATGTCCTTTCATTCTGTTTGCATAATCATTTTCTCACAAGGCTCAGGGCCACGCAGCTATTGGCCTTGGTCAACCAAATCCTGTTTTAATTTCACCCCTCTCCAAGGCCATGTTCAAATGACCCCTTTAGTAAATTAATCCATGAAAGCCATGGTTCTTCACATGGGCTGCCCATTACAATTATCTGGGAGGTTTTTTTCTGGTTTTTTGTTTTTTAATACCCATGCCTGGGCCATCCTCCAAGAACTTATAATTAATTGGGATTTGTGTATTTGTGATTATTGAGGGCACCCCCACTTCCTAACAACAAATCTGGGGCTCTGTGTACCCAACTTCATTTCCTCTCTGCCTCTTTAAGAGGATCTCGGGCAGCTGGAGTGTACAGATGGGTCCAGAAGGATCTTAGAGGCAGAGAAATGTAATTCTGAGCCAGTGGCAGCTGATCTGTTGTTTGGGGAAATCCTACCAGTTTTCATAGGGTCTACATATACATATACACCAAGAGTATCTTCTGCGTAAATGGAAATTGATAATAAGGAATTATAACTCAGTCTTCTAATGATTTTGCTAAAGATGCAAAAAAGTGTTTCTTAATAGCATTTTAAATTGTTATGCTTTCTTTAAAAGTCATTTTTATTATTTATAGTTACTCCAGTTATTGTATCAAAAAAAAATAGATAAGTGCAAAAAAACCCTGCATAATTCCACCACCAAGAGATAACCACCATTATGCTAAATGATATATACAAGTCTAAGCTCTTTTTTCCCTTGTGATCTTATATGTATAAGATGATATGCACACATAGATACTTCTACATATATTAGCAGAAAACTATATGAAATTGATTGACAGTAATTGATCATTTTACCTTCAAAGACATGGAACTGTCTTTTATATATTGTTCTGCAGTCTGCTTTTGTCTCAGTGCTGTATTGCAAATATTGCTTCGTGTCTCACCACATGTGTGGTGAGAGTATATGTGTGTAGAGGTGTATATGTATATTTATACATAAGAGAAAGGAAGGGAAGGGGAGAGAGACACACAGAGGCAGAGAGAGGGAGAGAGAACAATCTACCTCTTTATTTTTGGTGGTGATTCATTTCTTTCCCACCTTTCTTTAATTTTTGGCTTCCTTTGTTATACAGGATGCTCCCAAAGCATTTCCATGGCATCCATTGTTCTTACAAGCTATCTATGGTTGCATTCCTACCTTCCCACCTACCTACCCACCCACATCCAGTCTTTTCCTTTCTCTGCCAGGGAACAAACATGACCAGCTATGTGCAGCCCACATCCTGCAGATCAGAGCAAGCAAGACTGAGGAGGGATGCCACGTGTGTAGAGTGGGTTTGTGGACCATTACACTATGGAGATGTCGCAAGATGACAGATGCGGATGGAGTGTTCAGTCTCCAACCCACAGACTGGGCAAGGGGCTGCCCTCAAAACCTGTGCCTTGTGATTATTTGAAATTGGCTCCTATGGGTTTTGTATACCAAACACACACATTTCTTGAGATTCAGCTATCAAAGCCACTCCAAGTGGACCAAATACCCACCAGGACAGACCCTTGCATAGCTCTCTCCTCAGGCCAACAGT